TCGGAGGGTTTCCAAGAAGCCCCGCCGCCCTCTGAGAAAGCCTGCTCCTTCTCACTTCCCCCGGGGCTCGCCGCCGGGCTCGCACCTCTGGCCCACGGCGTTGCCCTGCCCTGGCTCACGGCCACGTCCCCGCCTTCTTCGCGGAATCGGTGCCAGCCATGTCTCTCGACGTTGAGCTCTCACCAGTGGCCCTTCGTCCTCGTCCTCAGTCTCTTCTCCTTATCCTAATATTCTTATTGCGGCCTCGATTTTCAAGTGCCGCAGCTGCAACTTGCGAGTGCGGGCAGAACCAGGCGCATGCCGAGCTGCACCCTGCGAAGTCACGGGGCTCCTCGGTTTTGTTTTGCAGCGCGCAGCACGGGCTGCACGCTGACCGTCTTCGGCCCGCCGAAACATATGATCGCTCACCTCTTCGGTCATCGCGTCATCGCAGTACGATTGCATCTGGGCCGCCTGGGGCTTTTCGGAGTGTCTTGGGTCGCATATCGGCCTCTCGAGGAGCCCTCCTGACGACCCTGAAGGTGTCTCTTGCGGGGGGGGGGGGGGGCGTAGGCAGTGTGCAGGCATGCAGGCGATAACTCCTCGAGCGACCTCACCTTCTCTCAAAGTGTTCCGGTAGGTTCGTGTCGTGTCGAGCGGCGGCGACCCCGCCAGCGGCGTTCAACGTTGAACGCCATGGGCGACCCATAATCGTTCGATGTGGAACGATTTGGACGTTTCGGAAACGGCCGATTGTTCAAGGTTGAACGATCCCGCGGTGTCAGAAACCAACGCCGAAGTTGGCACGACGCGAACTTGCCGTACTTGTCCTGGAGTTGCCGCGGCGCCCTTGCTGCTCGATCCCTTCTTGGCTCGCCGAGCTGCTGCAGCTGACATCCTCCCACGTTCGCCCGGGAGCCTCTGGGGGACAGTAGCGGAAAAAAGCACACAGACACAATTAATGGTCGATCCCCAGGAAAATGTTGAAAAATATGGAACATGGGGGGGAAGACGAAAACCCAGAAAAAATATGAAAATAGTCGGAATCCTGGAACATGTGTGTATTTATTTGTGTGTCCCTGGGCCCCTTTCAGACTTGCGTAGCTTATTCGCCTTCGGGGCGATTTGTGGAGTTGGAAGAGAGACCTTGCTGCCGCTGCTCGCTGTGCTGCCGCCCTGGCATATGCTGCATTATCGCGCACAAGCGGCCGGGGACAGGGCGAGGACAGCAAGTGGAGGAAGGGGGGGGGGAAGAGGGGGCGGAGTGAGAGGGGGACGCAGAGGTCGCACACCCACGGGGGGAGGTCAATGGCCGTCTGTATATGTTTGTGTGTGTGCGCGCGCACGCGCGCGCCTAATGGTGCACAAGTGCAACTTGAGCCACCTGGGCCGCGAGATCTGCTATAGGCCCCGCCGTCGCCTCTGCCTCAGCAGCCCTCGGGCGGCAGTCCATTCTGCGCGCGCCCGCTGACATGTGGACGGGCCAGGCGCCCCGAGCAATGTCCCGCAATATATGACGGCCTGCCTGTCCTGGGGGTTCTGCACTTCTCGGCCAAGCCCCGAAGCAGTCTCTCCCCTCCCTGGCAGTCGCCGCCGCACAAGAGGTGTGTTCACACAGGAAGCGCAGCGTGGGCCTCAACATGGTCGGACCCGTGAGGCTTCCGAGCCCCTATCTCTAAGTCGGGCGTGCCCCTCAACAGGTGGAATATTCAAACATAGTTCAAAAAAGTTCTGGAGACGACTCTTCCATCATTTTCGACTATGTGTTGTCAGAGTGAGTGGGCTGAACCGAGCGGTCATTCACTGTCCCTGGGTGCGTGGCTGAAGTGGAATTCCGCGATGCGGATTGTTGTTGTTGTTGGAATTGTTGTTATTGTTGTTGTTGTTGAAGATTATTACTTCTAAAGAATAATTATTGTTGGGGCCCCTGGTGCACGACCCCCCCGCCGCGCCTAGGCCGCAGCCTCATTTTCATCATTTTCGTGAGGGAGTCTCAAGCAAAACGGGTTGGTCCGGATCCGGTTGTGTTGTTACGATCGGCTTTCCCTTGCAAAAAATAGCTAAAGTGGACATTTCTTGTTCTAACATAACCAAACTTCAAGAATCCCTTGCAAAAAATAAGGTAAAGTGGACATTCGCGCGCGCAAGACGAAATCCTTCCAAAACCCTAGTTTTCGTAGCGATTTTAACATAAAAACATCAAAAAAACCAATGGTTTTTCAAAAACAATGTCAACATTTCATCCCGCGCGCTCTTGCGGATTCGTAGGAAACACAACACTTTTTAATTTAATCATTTCTGTCAAACGGGCTTTTGCGAGCAACTTTTTCGAACTTCTGCAACAACGGTTGCGCACCTGCCAGGGCCATCATCCCTGTCAAATAATACCATGCGGGACACATTCGTTTTTTCTTCGCGCGCGCACGCCGTCGTCGTCGGCCGCGGGGCCCTGAATAGTAGCCACGGTCGTCCGCATGCCACGAAGTGAAGTGTCCGAACGTCATAGGGCGGGAAGCTGGGT